CGTAAAAGCAATTATCTACAATTTAATTACGACAAAATGAACCCGAAGACATATTAATTTTTTCACATACATTTATTTCAAATCAACTCTATTTTTAAATACCAAAGGATAAAGAAATTCGTCTGCACGATTTAAAAGTTATTGATATTTTTTAAATCAAGACCTTGCCTGAAAACAAGCCAAAAACGACGTTTTTCCTATACAATTCAATAGAAAACTGTCGAAAATGTAACTACAACCATGACATCTTTTGAATTCAATTACACAAAAACGGTGCAGACGAATTTTATAAAAATTTCAGAGAATGGAAATCAAAGGTAGAGAAACAATATAGGTAATTTTCATGGTATGTTTTCGAACACTTTTAAAAGCCCTGTAAACCCGCGACCTACGTTAAGCAAAATCATGTAGAAAATAGGGTATTTTCATGATATTCAATTTAAAATCATATAAAAAGTAAACCGGATACCTATATCAAATTTGATATTGATTTAAAGAAGAGGCCATAAACATACTAATTACCGTTTTCTATGAGACTGTAGACAATCTTGATACATTTCCTTTGTCGATTATGAAAAAAATCTCCCATATACATGACTGGTTTTCTTAGTTTTTCATTGAAAATGACAGTTTAAAATACAGTTTTTCATCTTGTTTACCTACAAATTATGCCCCGAAACACCTTATTTACCAAGCTTAAGTTGTAAAGCATCAAAAAAGGAATTTATTTCTCAAGTTTGATAAATATGTAGGGACCTTAATTTACTAGATCTTGACCTTAAGACAGCGGAACATTAACTGGTAGGATTGGAAATATGCAGCTTTTATTGATCGATTTGTCTGTAACAGATGGAAATGGCGTAATCTGCATATTTCCAAACTTGTCAGTTAATGTTCCGCGACTTATGAGGCCGTACTGTAGTCACCTTTTTAATTATGGATTTTTTTTCTCTCAATTGACTCTGACCCAAACAAATGTCCCATGGAGTTTTACTTAAATGAGGAATCTATTGACAAGTTATTAAAACAAGGATATCAATAATACTGTTTAACTTCGTCCTTTGTAGGTTCTATGGCCAATACAAAATCTTGTTTGCAAATTTAACTTTCAAGATTTACATTTCCAATAAATATCCAGCATGATTTCTTTACAAAATAAAATGCAGTTGATTTTTTCATGACTTTCATTACATATTTACCACGAATAATCATGAATGTCTACATTGTTAAGTCATAATACTGTACTTGACATTAAAAAAAAATTAGTACACTCTGTGAAAATGTATGGCAAGTCATCAGAAAAATAATGTAAATATAAAAAATGAATTTAATTTTTGAAGATCCATTAGGTGTATGAACTATTCTTCACGCCGGCATATTTATCATGAAGCGCTGACGCGCTTCATCAAATATGCTGGCGTGAAATGTCGTAGTACATAATCACATGAATCTTCAAATATTAAATTCATTTCTTAAATATTATTACAACAAGCAAATAAGGATTGTTACCGATGGATATATCAAAATCTATTTCAAATAACTAAACCACATACAGCAAAACTCGTTTAGTACGAACACGGATATTGCGAATTTACGGATATAGCGAAGTCATCTTGGATCCCCAGATATATGAATTTAGTGATTTTCTTATACGGTTATAACGAATTACGGATATAGCGAAGTAATTTCACAGGTCCCAGTGACTTCGTTATAACCGAGTTTTACTGTAGACATATCTAAACAAAAACATGATTATCGGCCTTATTTAATATCTATACCATTAGGATGAAATCAACAAAAGTAAAAAATTAAGAGTTCTTGGGCTTGAGATAAAAGATACCACAGAGTCTGGCACATCTGTTTCATACTTGAATATTTTATTTGAAAAAGACGTTAATGGTAATCTAACAACCAAGCTCTATGATAAACCTGATGACTTTTACTTTTTAATCGTTAACTTTCCTTACTTATGCAGCAATATACCTTCATCACCTGCATAAGGAATGTATATATCTCATTTGATTGATACGCAAGAGCAACCTCTACGTATGAAAAATTTCTAAAACGAGATTAATTATTGAAAAGCAAGTTGATGAAACAAGAATATCAGCCGTCTCGTTTAAAGTCTTCATTTGGTAAGTTCTATGGTCGATAACTAAACTTTGTCAGCAAATACAATTTATCATTGAATCAAATGGTGACATACGTTTGTCTTTAAATTGTTAGTCCATTATTTATACACTGAATTGACGACAATTTTTTCCGTTATTTCCCGATCATGACAACGAGCACATGGAGACCGGTCCTAAGGATGAGAGCGTGTAACCCGAGGTCCCGTGTCGCAGTAAGTGTTCTCACAAAAGAGATCCCTCCATGTTCAATGGCCCCGAGTGCCAAGTATAGGACAAAGGGGGGGGGGGGGTTCGAGAAGGCCGTTTATCGGCCCACTTATTTTCAAAAATAATTTCAATTTATTTTTTCAAATTAAGTTTAGAATTTAAGATGAATATCTTAATTTTTGTTGTTAATATTTCAAAAGTTAATATGAAATAAATTCACACCGTTATTGACACAAACTTAGATGTACCCATAAATGCTTTAATAGAGATGTTGAGATCTCAAACGTGTACGCCTACATGTACGTGTGTCTATACTTTGACGTACACGTACACATTTCTTGTAATTTTTCTGTTGAGATTTTAATGACGTGTAACAGCACGTGTACACCGCGATCGCTGTCTATGTGTTTACTATTTAAAAGGTTTGTCGCTTCATTTTGATTTGAGTTAGTAAGCAAAACATGATAAAAATAAATGCTTGTAAAACTAAACATCCTAAATAATAGTTTACAACTACATGTATCACTTCATAACTACAAGTTTTCAATTACGTGTAGATGTCATTTTACAAGTTTTAAGAACGTGTAGCAATCTTTACGTCACTAAAATTGATGACGTTATACACACGGAATTTAGGTTATTCCCCTACTAGACGTACCCGAACACTTACACGTTTGAAATCTCAACCTCTCTAATATCAGGTCATGGGAAAATATAAGAGGGTGGTATTTATGAATCGATGTTTAGAATATGAAGTGCATGAGGGACACTCACCTTGATTTGCCCAGTTGTTAGATATACCCTGCACACTTATATCTTACAATATGATGAGTGTCGCATGTGCACTTCATATCCAAAAATTGAAAATTGTCTAAAAACTGCATACCTAAAATTAGAACCTTCTGGTTACTTGATCATACACCAGGTAAAAATACTAACCCCAAAGTAGCATATTTTTTTGTTAAATCAAAGATAATTCTCGAAAATATTAACAAGAGAATATATTTTTGGATACTGTCTTTATCTCCATACTTATTTCGTCGTCAGCATATAACGTTCTAACGTCAAATTTTAGTTCAACTACACGGACTAGGGGGAGTTTTCTTAATACCGTCAGCATTAGCGTTCCCAGCTAAAAAAAATCTAAGCAGATATTCTTTATATCGTCTACTCTCCTGATCCAGTGATTCCTTGTCACCTTTCGGGTTTCAGATGCTGTATTTTAAACTTATATGTTTCGTGGTCAATGTTTTTAAAGTAAGTTAAAGTTTATTTAGCAATGCTGCTATAGTACTTGAGGACCAGACATGCTTCATGATACATCTTCGGATGCACGGTACAAGACTTGTTTCAGATGCAGGGTCTGACTTACATTTCATGGATGAATGCTTAGAGTAAAAGGTTGACCAAACATGCAGTAAAGATACATTTAGTGTTGCACATTACCAGAAATGGTCCAAATACCGGACCTTACTTATATTTTCTGATTGATTGAACTTAAGAAGTGCATTCTTTAACGTTCTGTATCAAACATATACATGTTTCAACAAATTTATAATATAAGCCTTTTTATCGAATAGAAACCCTTGATCCAAACTGCTAGAGAAGGTTTGTTATGTTTTTCCATGTGGTTGATATTTATGTAGGGAACGTGAATTTTTTAAGACTAAATTTTGATTGATAGGTTTCTGCAGGATTTGGGATTTAACACATATCTTTGGCATTTATAAATGTTTTTGAACTGCGATCTGGACTAGCATTTAATCAATGAAGTCCAATAAATGTAACTAGAATTGGTGAAGCAAGAGCAGTGGGATGCAAGAATTTTTAAGATCATGGTCCTTGCCTAGTTTCTGTTGTTGAGAACATAATGCGTATCTTTAAGTTGTTAACTATACTTCTAACTTTCAGAATGAAATGGAGACACTCAATCTATTTATGTGTTTTTTTTATCATTTGGCTCTTTATTTGAGTGAGCTATGCATGACCGATTCTAGTTCTCTACCTCCAAGCATAACCTAGTTTTAATTTAAAAAAAAAACATACCATGTAAATTCCATACCTCCGCAAAAAATCATTGAAACAATATTATCTATTAATTATCAAGATTAGCTCATTAACCAAACCTTAGCACATAACCCGGTATTTACAAGCATTTCGAAAAAGAATTTGGACCCCCCCCCCCCCATTCACAAAAACATAATACCGTCAATAATACATTTCAGACAAAAAAAAATAAGCTTATTAAGTTAAAATCTGCAAGCAAGCGTTTATAGGGAAAAGTACGAAACCAAATGGGACAAACTGAAGGACAGAGGGACGGACACGTCCGTGTATACGAGAGTGCATTTATTGGGTATTTTGCCTGCCAAGATTGTACTTATTGGGTACTTTTTGCTTATTGGGTATACCCAATAAGAAGTGTCGCTGAATATGCTTAAAACACCCTAATTGGGTATTTGAAGGTTAGTAACCAACAAAACTTTGACACGACGATTTGTCCAAAAAAGTGTCTAAAAAAGTTGCTTTCACGGACGCACCGTGTTTTTTTGTTTCAGTTTTACATTCCGAACTCTAAATTCTCGAGAGTTCCGAAAATCAACTTCGGTTGATCCTGATCATAACAACGTTTGTTTTCATGGAAAAAATATGGCGACTAAGAAACACTTAATGTCAACAAGATTTTCTGATTGAAAAGAGAAAAGGTAAGTTTATTCGATTAATATTTATCCAATGCTGGGTTCTTGTTTAAGGAAAATAGATTTTAATGTAATTTTGAAAACAATTGTGCACAAAATTAAAATAGATATATCGGAACAATTAATCCTAAGTTGCACTTGTTTGTATTTTGAATTTTCTCTGTCTCTTTAACTCTGGAGGGCGAGAAGTATTTAGTAAATGATCGTATATTGTTAGATAATCTTTAATAAATCGAAAGTGTTTATTATTTAATTTTTATATCATAACCAACTAAGTATGTTCTGACAATGTATATTGGAAAGGGAAATGAAAATTTTAACAATCGTGTGTTCATAAATCAGCTGTAAATTATCGGTTCATGTAGACAGTATTACAATCGCAAAGTGAGCTGAGATGGTGATAAATGGGATAATTGACAACAACTAAATAATTGTATGTGAGTTTATCTCATCTGATATGCAACTTAAGAGATTCATTGTATTATTGAAAAACTGTCAGTCAAAACAGTGCTTCTTTCTGTCTTTGATTTTGAGTGTCTGCTTTATTTTGATTTTTTTTAAATTATTGTTTTTCTCATATGTTTTAATCAATTTAAAACAATACTGAAATTGATATAGGGCTACTATAACTATTTCAAATGATGGGTGTTTAATTAGCATCGCGCTACACCCGGGGCTTCCAATTTTGAGGATTGGAGTAAGTGGTCTTCTGCACTGAGGAATCCCCTTGGGCTATTAGGAATTTTAAAATACACATGTAATTCATGAAAAGCACCACCGGTATTTTCACTCTTTTTTGCTATTAAATTCCCTAATATGGAAATATTCCAGACAGCATGCTCATATTATTCATAAATCTCTACAACTGCATCCATTATGCATTACTACAAGACTGATTTACTTAAAAACAATCTTTTATTTTATAATTTGAATTCCCCCCTTTCCTTTGTTTAATATAGCAATATTTGCATGTACATGTATGCCTCACAGATATCTCATTATTAAATTATATACATTCACTCAATCAGCTCAATGATAAGTGTCATGCAATTATTATGTAGCGTTTTTTAAAAGCCATATATGGCGTAACTGATCAAAAAATATATTTTTGAAAAATACAAAATTAAGTACAGAAATATAGTTAATACATTTAAATTAAAGCTTTTCATTCAATTCGGAGCACGGAGAACACCTCGTTTTATCTAATTATACGATTGTATCTTCTCTGTAATGTGTTATTTAAATCTTTTGTATTTTCTTCCAAGTCGGAGAAAATTCCGAGAATCCAAATTAAATTTAGTTATCTTTATGATGCAATTGACTTAGATTTTGTAATTTACGGAAAAATTCTATCTTAATCATGTTTATATAAAGTAATGATACAAATAATAAGTTCTTATAATTTTAGTCTAATAATTTTCATTGTACATACTCCATATATGGCTTTAAATGATTCAAGATGAAAACAAAATGATTTTTGCTTCGTTTTAATTAGACGAACTAGTGAATGACCAGAAAAGGAATATTTAATTTTTTTTTTCATTTTTTTTAAATCATTAATTTATATATGATTAAATTTTACTAGCGAAAATTAAATTAAACTTTAATTTTAAAAAGAATCATCTGTAGTTAATACCCTGACTTTTTTGCACGATGAACTTTTTTTCAATGTTACTTTTTAATTTTTGCCTCTATATTTGGGCTTGTCACTTTTTACTCGGGGATAGTACCGGTTACTTATATTGCCACATAGCTGTGGATTAGTACTTGATTTCCTTTATTGAACAGCGATGACTATGATTTTAATAGCACAAAAAGCTAATGGGTTTACGCATGTGAATTTATATGATTAATACTTACTTGTGATTTTAGGATAACTGGAGATAATGATACCTTTTTTTCCATTGATATTACATAAATATAATCCTAAGTATTATGTTACATGTACAATAAATTGGTTTAGAATTTTTTTTATAAAAGTAATCAATAATTGCAATGGAAATTAAAACCATAATTATGTTCATTGAGGATTTTCAATATGTAACAGGTCAAACAGGAACTTCAATTGTGAACATTGCAGAGAACACACTCATCAGAAGATGACCCTCAGAAATAGGAGAATTGTAAGTAATTAGTAAAATGAACAAGAATACTTCATGCCAACCATAAGATTTTTAGAGACATTTTCGCTTCTTAATTAGAAGAGATAAAGAGAAAAACTTGTACATACTACATAACTACTAGGCAACCATCCTTTAACTGCAGGAAAGCTTTTGGTATGTGCAATACAGCTACATAAAACCTCTTTAGTATTCATATTAAGTTTGAGAAAGTACCTTAGTATTTTTTCTAGTGTTTGCCAACATTTTCATGCACACTGTTTGCTTGTTTGTACTATCATTTTATTTTAAATTCTTCAGATGCCCTTTACCTTTGCCAGTTTTGAATCATTTGTTTTAAGGGCATCTGAGGGTTGGTTCCAGAACTTAATTAATTGTAAAGTAAATACTGGGGTACAATACGGTCATAGGTTATGTTAATACATGTATAACATTTTGTTCTGATAGAGGTGGCATACAGGAAAAGAAACAATACTAGATATCACTTCAAAGGAATAAAACAGCTTCATCTTGTAGGTGTATTTTATTTAAGGATCACTACTTCATGTCTGATGTGCTGAAAGTTATTCATAATCTGTTTGACTGTAATTTTTCATATTTTCAACTTCTATCCAGCTTAGTCAATTTTGATTAAATTTTGTGCAAAGCATACCCCAGGAAGGGGGAATGGATTGTCAAGTGTGTCTCTGTCCCTGTCAATATAATTTCAAAGCAGTTAGTAAGGTTTGCGTCAATTTTAAATCCTCTTTAGCAGAACCATTGTGCTAAAAACAATACTAATGAGAAAGCTTTATTGTTAAGTGTAGAGATGTTTTTGAAGATTATGTACCCCTAATGTACTGATAGTGTTACATTAGAAGTCTAAAATTTGCAAGGAATAGGTGTAAAATCTTTTTAAAATCTCCTTCTTAACAATCAGAAACTAACAAACTGTCTAACTAATGTGCAACATCGTTTTTTGTGTTGAATGATGATTCCGTTTTGATAAAATTATGGCAGATGGGGGGTAGGATGAAGATGCAGTTAGACATAGAAGAAACAAAAAAGAGTTGATAGAATTTAGTTTTTCTTCCATTTTATTTATAAATACATATTTCTGAATACGAAATATACTTCTCCTTCTTGGTTGGGTTTGCCACCGAAATATACTTCTCCTTCTTGGTTGGGTTTGATCAACATAAAGGGTGATCTTGCTGTAAGAAAAACATGTTTTACTAGTATACGGCAAAGATGCCAAAGAAATGACTTTATCTAATTGCAGAATGAATAAAATGGACAGAGGCAGAACAGAAGGAGATGCATGAAATGGGGAATATTTCAAAGATTGCCTGAGCATAACCACTGCTACTGGATAAACATATGGCAATATAAAAGAGCAGGGTCAATGGACATGATGGAGGTATCATACAGTATAGGCCATGAGAGACCCTGAAGAAGAAAGTATTGAACAGAAACAAAAATAAAACCATTTTGAATTTATTGAAATATAGGATCAAAGTCTTACATGTAAAATTTGGGCATGTAATGACTTTTCTCTAGCTCCAAGACATAACAGTGATTATTTGATTTCATATCTTTATTCATATCTATATTATTATTTATCCCGATTTGTCGAAAAGATTTGGACATAGTGCATCAATTATTTTAAAGTTTTGATACAACGATTTCATTCATTGTACTTGTAACTGAGTTTTCTGGTGCGACACTGTTTTATAGGCTTCAAAACTAAGTTTGTGACTTCCAAACCAGATTAATGAGATCATGTAATATCTTTTAACATCGGTGACTATTTAATTCATTCTTTTACATCTCAGAAGTATTTTTATTATTACAGGGAAAATATGCATTGTACATGTATCGGTAATAAACAGGATTATAGAAATTTTCCATATAATACAACACAATCTTAGCAACTGAAGGCAAATATTCTATCAAGGGTGTGATCTATTTATCAATATCGTTTTCAGCATCTTGCTCTACCTGTAATGACTTGGTCCAAGTTCCAATATTTAAATATAAATTTTGCAAACATGGTTATAAAATTCTTTAAAATCAAATAGTTTAGGCACAAAATGCTTATGTATTTCCTATCATTTGTAAAGTGTACACTGAATGAGATGTGGAATGTTAGAATTAAAGTATTAAATATGTTTTGGACTTATGTATGCTTATGCAGATAAATTTGAATTCAACTAGGGAAAGTAAATGTCCTACTTACCGGGTTTGCAATCTAATGCAAGAGTATAAATATCCAAGACAAATTTGACAATTTTAATGAAGGGTATAAGTAACCCAAGAAGAATTGGACAGTGAACATCACCTGTTGGGTTTTATTCTAATGTTGGGATGTAATATCCAAGAAGAGTTGAACCAATGTACGATACCTATTGGGTTTTCTTTCTTATAAAAAAAAATTTGAGTAAACCAAGAAGAATGTCCAATACCTTTTAGTTTATATACTATTGAAGGGATGAAGATATCCAAGAGGAATTGGACAGGTGTCCATTACATGTTGGGTAGTATTCTGATGAGGGGATTCTCAAGAAACCCAAGAATTAGACAAGTGTCCATTACCTGTTGGGGGAGATGTAGATATCCAAGAGGAGTGACAGGTGTCCATTACCTGTTGGGTGGTATTCTGATGAAACAATTCAAGTAACCCAAGAAGAATTGGACAAGTGTCCATTTCCTGATGGGTGGGATGTAGATATCCAAGAGGAGTTGGACAGGTGTCCATTACCTATTGGGTTGTATTTTGATGATGCAATTCAAGAAACCCAAGAATTAGACAAGTGTCCATTGCCTGTTGGGTTGGATGTAGATATCCAAGAGGAGTTGGACAGATGTCCATTACCTGTTGGGTGGTATTCTAATGAAACAATTCAAGAAACCCAAGAAGAATTGGACAAGTGTCCATTACCTGTTGGGTGGGATGTAGATATCCAAGAGGAGTTGGACAGGTGTCCATTACCTGTTGGGTTGTATTTTGATGATGCAATTCAAGAAACCCAAGAATTGAACAAGTGTCCATGGCCTGTTGTGTGGGATGTAGATATCCAAGAGGAGTTGGACTGATGTCCATTACCTCATGGGTGGTATTCCAATGAAACAATTCAAGAAACCCAAGAAGAATTGGACAAGTGTCCATTACCTGTTGTGTGGGATGTAGATATCCAAGAGGAGTTGGACAGGTGTCCATTACCTGTTGGGTTGTATTTTGATGAGGAGATTCAAGAAACCCAAATAGAATTGGACAATGTACACATGTTCAATTGTTCTTGGGTAGTTTAATCCCTTCGTCAAAATACAACCCAACAGGTATTGGCCACCTGTCCATGCCTGTTGGATACCTTCATTCTGTCCAACATGTATGGCCAATTGCTTATTATTAATTGGTCATAGCTCAAAAAGGTTTCTCCTTAAATACTTAATTTTGTTATTCAAGAAAGGGTGAACAGAGTCTGAGATGTGTTGAGTTGTCTTTTCACAATTCAGTTTTTTTGCACTTAGGTATTCATATATTTTAATATTACATATTTTGAAATATACAGGTGTATATCCTTATTGCTAAGAACAAATTAGTTAGGTATTACAATAAAAGAGCTATATCACAGAAATTGACAAAAATATGGGTTCAAAACCAAAGGTTTTCAGTCTTGTCAAAATTTACCAGCAAATATTAAATATATTATAAATTTGAAATGAATAAAAAACAATAAGAAAAAACTCAATAAAATACGGACACGAGGATTAATATCCAATAAGATTTGAACAGTAACTACCCAAATAACGCTCTCTCGTGTGTACACATTTTTGTATCCAATAAGCAGTATCCAATAGGACTTGGACTTGATGTACCCAATATAGAACCAAATGTGTGTCGCTAGACATATGCACAGACGATAAGGAAACTATACTTGTAGTCCCCTCTGGTCTCACCGGTAGGGGACTAATAATTGCTATCTTGATAAAATATATTGACTGTGTTTAATATTATTGATATATTAAAATACAATGAACATTGCAATGTGATTCTTTTGAAGATACTTTTTAAATTATATAGATATATACTTGCATTTCTTTAATCGTACCGAAATCCATTTTTTTTTTCAAGGCATGGTTTAAAATTAAATTTATTAATATTACTGTATAAATCACAATAAATTTTGCGCTATAACTTTAGTTGATGAAAATGTATTGCAAACAGTTCTAAACAACTTAAATTAGAGTCACAGTTTATCTATCTCTTGTCTATTTATTTTTACATTTGCTTCCCTACGTACGGAAACAAATGTAATAAATTGATTATTATGTTCAAATTTAAACTCTCAGTAACTTCCTCTTGTAAAAGTTTCTGCCTATACTGTATATATATGTTTTATAAGTAAAATTCATTCTTTTTTAATCAAAAGTTAATCAATTAAAACTCTAGAAAAATTTTGCATCTTAATAAACATTCACATAAATAAATGTTATTAATTTTCTGTAAAAATAAATATTGAAATTGGTTATTTGATGTCTTTATTTACATTATCACATTTCATTTATGATTCGACGTTGAAAAAAAAACTCAGGTATCCCGTTTTAAAATGCCTACTCCTAAAATGAAGGGAAGGGGGTATACTTAAACTTTTAATCATCATGTAACCAGAAAATGTGCGTATAAATTATTTTCATATCTTTAGAAAGCCAAGACATTTCCCTACAACATATCACAATTTCATAACATTTCTCGAGAGGCCGTAAAACAGCCTTATCGAAACTCCCCCTATCGCAGCTCTCCACCGGCAAGTGGTGATGTTTCCATAGGAGTGGAACATTCTCGAGATGGACTTTAAGCAATATACAATCAAAAATCTAAATCAATTCTACCAGGCTGATGATTTACATCTTTAATAAAGGATGCTTAATGTTGAATTAAGATTACCTTCAATTCATGAGTGAACAACATGCTCCTTCTTGAACTATATAGTCACACAACATGGAAGAAAAATTCATATTTTAAAGTACAGGGCTAGATATATGCCAAATTTCATTTTAATATGTGAAGGAAATGGAGATAACGAACAGCACTCAATCTCAAAGTCCACAAAACAATACTTGATAAGAGTAGAGCAAATACGGACCTCCGAAATATCAGAGGTAGGATCAGAAGCCATGGAGGAGTAAGAATTCTCTGCTGACTGGTCACATACGCCGTGTGCTCATTGTCATGATCAGGAAATAACGTGAAAATCTATCGTCAATTCAATATTAAATAATAGACTAACAATTAGTATGAAAAAAGTCAGTCAGCAATTGACTCAATGATAAACTGTATTTGCTGACAAGATCATTGTATCGACCATAGAACTTACAAAATGACTTTAAACGAGACAGCTGATATTCTTGTTTCATCAACTTGCTTGTCAATAATTTACCTCGTTTTAAGATTGTTCATACATAGAGCAAGCTCTTGTGTATCAAATCAACTGAGACATATACACTCCGTATGCAGGTTATGAAAGTATATTTCTGCATAAGTAAGAAAGCAGTTGACAATAGAAAAGTTAAAGTCCTCACGTTTATCATATAGCTTGGTTGTTAGATTACCATTAACGTCTTTGTCAAGTAAAATATCCAAATATGAAACATATGTGTCAGACTCTGTGGTATCTTTTATCTCAAGCTCATTAGGATATATCGTATCGACGTAGGAATGGAAATTACCATGATTGTTAATTGACAATACGTTCGTCCATATATCTAAAAGTCGAGTTGAAGGCCACAGCAAATGTTTTCTTCTTTTCACGCATAAGATTTTGCACAGATTCTGCTTCATATGAATATAAAAATAGGTCCGCTAATAACGGAGTGCAATTGGTACCCATGGGCATTCAAATTGATTTTTGGAATTCCTGGTCTCCAAAAACCACATAGATATTGTCAATCAGAAACTCTCTTTGATATCAACTTCAGAGTATTTGTGTGTGTAATCAGAATGTGTTTTAACAAAATAATTTTTCAAATGACCAATGACAAGGTAAATAAATTTACGAGTTCGTTTTTATTAAAAAAGCAGCTGTAAATGAGATCAAAAAGCACGTAGAGGGGAATATTTGTATATAAAGTTGAAAAGTCGTAAGCTTTTAAGCTGTTGATTTTGGTAAAATCTTGTGATTTCAACCTCTGCGTTGGAAATGTATGTAAACTGCAAATAATTGGAATTTTTGAAAGTTCAAGGGGCATATTTTTGTCCTAAATGGCTCAGGCGAACCTTAAAGAAAGCTTATATTTATGTGAAATTTCTATGCAAAATTTCATTTCAAATTGACCGGTCACGGTAGCCTAGTGGTAGAGCTTTCGCTTCGTGATCGGGAGGCCCGGGTTCGATTTTCGTTCGCGGCGCCGCGTCATACCAAAGACGTAAACAAAGGTAGTGACTGTTCGTTCGCCAAGCGCTCGGCACTAGAAGTGAAAGTCATGGGTCTTTCGGGTATGACCTTAAAAACGTAGGTCGCGTGTCACGGCAGGCGCTGGCACGATAAAGAACCCTCACTGCTCAATCGCCCTGAGTGCCGAGTATAGGTCTAAATTTGAAGCCCTTCACCAGCATACGGTGACATCTCCATATAAGTGGTATATTCTCAAGAGGGACGTTAAACAATATACAATAAAGCAATCAATCATTTCAAATTGTGCAGCATCCGTGAAGAAAATCAAGGGGAACTGATGGAGGACAGAAAGACAGATCGATCGACCAACAATTTACCAATTCAATTTTATCTTTAGTGTCGTTGCTACTTTTATTTTCAAAATGTATTTATAGTTTCATTAGTCTTGACTTCTAATTTTTCAGATTTTCTTTCGAAGAGCGCATGATGTCGGAATCGAAATATGATTCTGTCAAAAAGAAAGAACTCTCTGATCAAGAATTACATGATATCAATTGCAGTAGTGACTTCACGTATCTTCTGAAATGGATATGTCTTGAATATCAGTCTAATGCTTAATCATTACAGATAAAATTAATTTAGAGGTCACATGGATATGTAGGGGAAACTATGATGAAAACTTAATAAAATTGAATTTATATCGATCAGTTTTGAGCATTATGTTCAATTTAACACTGCAGTCACTTATTCTTCCTATCTATTTCACCTTTGAATACCAAATAATCCAAAATAGCCCGGAGTCATTTATCAAACTCAAATTTACGTTAAAGTTTCAATCATTCATAACATTTTTGTTGTTTGTATATAACACACACAAGTGTCTTCAATTTGTTGTTTATCTATACGAACCCATTGCAGGCATTTATTTTTGTATGCCCATGCAAGATAAAATTCTATACACGTCGGGAAAATTGTAGAGTAGATTACGTTTCCTGATTTCGTGCTCATTAATTTCTTGTTTTGAATTTCCATTCCTGATTCAAGTTGGGTTTCTATCTCCTAATTAATTATATTTTCAACATCTGGGGATCTCCACATCCCTTAATTGATGGCATTTCCTCCAGTGTATTGCTAAAATAAATAAGAAATTATTTTTCTTCATAAAAACAAAAAGGATAAACACCGGTCCTTTTTTTTTCGTGATCACAATACATCACAAGAGTATTATCACGTTGCCTGTACAAATGTGATACATTTAACTATTTAAGTTTTCTAGTGTTTCTCTAAAATATTTAAATAATTTTCATATGTTCCAAATAATATTAATTGTGTGCATTATACACTTGAAATAATTATGAATTTTGTTACGCAACAGGGATACTTGTGACTATGGCCTTCTTCAGGAAAGTGTATTGGGGTTATATACAACAATGCAAGAATTCGCCAGCCACCCAATATTTAAATCACATGTACAAAACGAAGCGTTCAAAATGATTGACATTGACAATCAATTGAAGACAAGAAACAGAGATTTGACGGAAGACCATGCAATAATTTTTGCTGGTAATATCTTACTGGTAGTTATTGATCAACATGGAATAACGTTTTTGTTTTTCATTGTTTACATTCATAATTAAATATATAAATATGATTTATTTTTTTCCTCCTTGTAATACAAAGGTGAAACCGGTGCTGGGAAATCAACTGTCATTAACTTGTTGATTAATGAAGAGGAGGATGTTCTACCCGTAGACATCACAGCAACAACTTCAAGGCTGTGTAAAATTCTGAATTGTGATCCAATGGTAATATTAACAAAGAATCATGAAAACAAAACAATAGAGGAGAGAAAGTTTCAATCTCATGAGAAATCAAATATGATATCCAGTCTGAGAGACCTTGTTAGAACAGATGATCCCAAAGTGAGATCCATAAACATTTGTCATCCTGTTCCAATTCAACAGGTATTTTATCTACACAACGGAATTAATTCGTTGTACAATATATCGCAACTCAAACTAGGCTGAAACTAGAAGCCAATAACAGCATCGACTAATCCGGTAGAAGTTACCCTAGTATATAGAAACCTCTAAAGATAAAAGGTCTCTAAATGATTTAATAATACAAATATTATCTAGTGTTCCAGTTGAAAGGCTTAACCCCCTTCCCCGCAGTAACGCATTTTAACGCATATACCATTTCCTATTTCTAACGCAAAATCACGCATTTACCGTTTCCCCGCAATCACGCATTTTCACGCACTATAAAAAGTTTTATCTTCAATTTATTGCCAAATTCCAACTATTTTATACTCGCTTAAATCTCAAAAAATATGAAAAATTATTTTCTAATTAAAATATTACGGCATAATATTATTTACGTTGAACTTAAGAGAAACTTGTACCCCGCTGTAAAGTGCTTGCGGAGAAATGGTCACGTAATATATCTATGACGCGAGGATTCGGTGTTTGTTGCAAAACAATGCAATAAGTTGTAAAGAGTTAATGCCATAAATTATTGCAATAATAGTTGACATTCTCAAAAGCTGAAATCCTAAATTGCCGCTTAAAGATATAATTATATCATTAAGCTTCACAAATGCAGAGTGACACCGACGCTAAATGAAACAAGCAATACATAATTGATGGTAAATGATATACAATAGTATACTATTAGACGTTGCAGTCACACCTTTTAATGATACAAAAATTCACACACGCAGGCATGTTTAGGAAGCATATAAATATTTTTTTTCGGGATAAGAGCTAAAGCCATGAAATTTGTCAATATGTGCCTTTAATTTTGACAAAAGAATGACTGCACTTAAGCTATGAGGGTTAGATCCCAATGATTTGCGAAAATAAAATTCCAAAATTCATTAAATTTATGTTTTATAGGTATTAAACAATATATTAAGAGCATGTTTTGGTTTATTAAATTATATAAAGTATTAAATAATGCCGATCGACACTAGCTTTTGAAACAAGGGTCTAACAGTTTTAAAACACATTTCTATTGTTATTCATATGCATACCAGTTTTCAACGACATTGTTTACATCGAGGGCAACTTGACCATTTTTCTCATTTGCACAGAATGTGTATTTTAACTAAAATTTATACATATCCGAAGGACAATGTTGGTCAAGTTGCATTTCATATCTAATTTTTAAAAAGAATGTACCCAAACTTCGCTCGAGATAGCTACTAAATTAGCAGGTTACGAGTTTCAGCCCATGTTTAGACCCCTTCATATTATAATCACTTTTCTCACGTGACATTCAAGTGTTCGACACGCTTTCATTGTGTCAGTCTTGGAAAATTCTTTTCATATCTACATGTACTTCCATCTTCAAAATATTGAAGATCCTTGTTCCCCGATTTTACATCTCGCGTTTTAAAGTTTACGTTGATTTCTTTCACTATATTGTTTTGTTCGGGGTATTTTAAAGGAAAAGGGTATTATTTAACATAATTACATGCTGTACATATAGCAGTGGCGGATCCAGAAATTTGAAAAATCTCTATCTTTTAATATAACTTTAACAGTCATCATTAAAAAAAAAACTATTTTTTTATTTTATTTTTACGTTACTAATTCCACAATTATTATTCCGTTAAGATAAAGTGAAAATGTCATTTTTTTTTAAATACACTGTAGGTTCGAACACATAATTATTTTAAGATTTAGTTAATTCTCTGCTTGACAGCAAATAATACATGAGCAGTGAGATTTTAAGCATTCCAATTTTATCATACAACCGTGAATGAAAATTACTCATCCCTTTTTGATAATGTATAAGCCGCAATTCATTTTTTTAATGCATTGTCCATGCACTCTAAAAACCGATCAAAACTTTTTTGAAAAATAAACATGGCTGCCAGTAACTCAAAAGAATATCCACTGGGCTCTCCTTTAGTCCATATAAAAATGTGTGCATCCCATGAATTACGTATTGATTTAGTATGTGAGGACTGTGATAAATTTATATGTGCCAAGTGTGCTGAAAAATACAGATGTATTTCAGTGTCATTTTCATCTTTACCCACAGTAGCTACCGAAAAGAGGAGAGAATTGCCTGAATTTCTGAAAAAGATCAAGGAAGGAGATCTGCCTGGGATTGAAGAAAGGATAGAGAATATTTCACAAAAGATCAAAGAAAATAAAGATATTTGTGATTCTGAGATTAAAAAACTACAAAAGCATTTTGGGAGTATAATAGCTAGGCTGACAGAAATTAAAAAAACGGCATGAACAAACAATAAGAGACAATTTAATGAAAAAGAATATTCAGCTGAACGATTTGAAATCTGAGTTAGAGATGAAGAAGAGAGAAATCGTTGACACAATGGAATACATAAAGGAGAACAACAGCACCATGTCAAATTACAGCTTGATTGACAACCACAGAGAACTGAGGAAAATGAAGTCTGAATTAGAGGTTGATATGAAAAACTGTGAATATTCAGTAAGGTTCAATAGAGGAGAAATGAACGATGACTTACTTGAGTCTTTGGTTGGAAGAAATGTGGATTTAGATAATATTGGGCTGAGTCAAATAAACTCATTTCAATTCGGAAATAATACAATATCTGTGTTGGAGACATTCAATGAAGACCAAAGTTACATAAGGGAATATAAATCAGAATTTGCAGAAATAGTAAACAAGGAAGGAAGAAAAAAAGGTAGACTTACTGAAACTTTTAATGACATGTGCATGAATGATAACGGGGATATTTACTTGACTCATTATTCAAAAATGTCCATCAGCTGTCTGTCACCATCAACGCCAGCCTCTAAAGTCATCAGTACAGTTCCACTAAGACCAAGAGGAATTTGTCAGTCACTGGACGGTGGACTACTGGTCACCTTGGCAGACAATGAATCAGAAGATTACAAATTAGATTCATACAGCAGACGACTGGTGAGACACATCACAGTGACAGGTGATGTCATCCATGAGTATGAGTACCAGGAGGACGGTCAGACCAGACTTCTTACAATGCCATTAGGTATCACACAAAACAGGAACAGTGATATCTGTGTTGTGAACCTGACAAGTGACTCTACAGGTGAACTAGTAATTATTTCTTCCTCTGGTGGCATGAAGTCTGTCTATCGTGGACAAAACCTAATGAAAAAATTTAACCCAACTGATGTAGTGTGTGATTCCCTCTGTAACATCCTTGTTACTGACTCGCGTAACAATCGGATACATCTGCTGAGTCCTGACGGGGAGTTCCTGAAGTTTTTGCTGACAAAAAATGAAGTGAATTATCCATTCTCACTGTCCCTATTCAAATCTACACTGTGGGTGGGATACATGGAAGGTCTTATTGAAGTTTTTCAATACAGGATGTAAAATCAAATAATATGTAACTTTTGATTGGATTCATCACATTTCATTAAGCAGTATCTTTATTAGAATTATAAAACTGTTGTTTAAGATTAATGCATACAGAGTTTTTATATTTTATATCAATCAGACTTACTCTTCAAAACACAATCAAACTCATATATTGTTCATTTTTTTAAAAAAACAGAATTTCAGCTTTCCTGTATGTTATGTTTGTTCTTTTTAATCACGCTAAAATAAATTTCAAACATGATTACACTGGTTGATCCCCGGTAATTTGCTAATAAAAATCAAGTTTGAAATAAAGAATGACAGAATTCAATGTATATATATTTGTAATAGGTTTCCGGTAGACGGTAAATTCGTATAAGCAAAAATCTTAAGCTATGATTCAATTTTGATATTCTACAGAGCAAATGATTTTGAACTACCCATTATATATATTGGATTCCGAAACTTCATAAAAATCTTTAAAAAGAAACATACATTGCGGGTTACAGTAAATGTTCAACCAAGCCTCTTTCGTCACCCCTCACTCAGATATTAACAGCAGAGAAGGAAAAAAAATTTCAAGAGTACTGTGCAACAATATTAACTGAAATGCAAAAGAAACGCAACACCCTACTTTACGGGGAAATAATTATGTAAAGTGAAGAATTTTGTATCTTAAAATTATATATAGCTTTAATTTGGTAAATATCGGTAATTTAACGGTTGACCGATTTTTATACCTTAACCGGAAGTCAAGTTTGAGTCTGCTAAACAGAAATCAAAAATTTTATGTTTAACAAAACATTCTGCAATATTATTACATTAGTTTTAAGGGTTAGTACTGTTTATCTTAAGTAATACAGCAATATTTCAAAAAATAAAATCTCCTTTCGTTTCCCGTAACGATGCTTAGGCTTCTTGAAAATGGCTAAATTTCGCATTTCCATTGTTCGAGCTAGAAAATCTCATAGTAGAGATGATGAAGAGTTGATGATGCAAAAATACACTACATTACGCCTTAACGGGGTCTTACGTATCATATTCATAAATGATAGACCTTAGACCGGAAGTCCAAGGGTTACAATTATGCGCTAAGTTAGAGAAAATTCGGCGTAATCATCTGAAAAAACAGACATTTACAAATGGCAAAGAATTATTCCTTTACTCAGATCTCGATATTCTTTATCCTATTATTTTGTAGAAATTAAGCTGCCATTGTTGTTTAGAGCAGTCTTGCACGTTGTAATTGAATGGCTGGGAGGGGGGTGTTTTAACAGGCATATGTTACTTACATTAAAAGATAAACATTTAACATTTTTATCAAATTTCTGATGTTCCGAAAAGTGAGTTGTGCCTTACTGTATTTTTTTTTGAAAATCATTAGATAAAAAATTCAAACATTTGTAGATTACAGCTTATTGCGTTTCTTTTGCGTGTCAGTATATATTTAAGAAGTGATGTGAATCAGATACGGATACTCAAAACTTCCAAAGAACTTTTGGACACATTAAAATCGCAAGATATTATCAAAATCAAAAGCTTAAAAACTTACGACTTTTCAACTTTATACACAACCATCCCTCAAGATAAATTTAAGTCAATGCTTTTTGATATCAATGACAACTGCTTTTTCAATAAAGTGGAACTCGTAAATTTGCTTTCTTCGTCATTGGTCATTTAAAAAATTATTTGGTTAAAACACATCATGATTGCACATGATACAATTACTCTGAAATTGACATTAAAGAGATGATTGGGTTTTTGATTGACAATATCTATATGTTTTGGAGACCAGGTATTCCAACAGTCTATTGGAATTCCCATGGGTACCAATTGCGGTCCGTTGTTAGTAGACTTATTTTTATATTCAAATGAAGCAGAAATTGTGCAAAATCTTGTGCGTGAAAAAAGAAAACACTTGCGTTGGCCTTCAACTCGACATTTAGTTATATAGACGACGTAATGTCAATTAACAATTGGTAATTCCCGTTACTACGTCGATACGATATATCTTAGTGAACTTGAGACAAAAGATACCACAGAATCTGACACATCTGTTTCATACTTTGGATATTTTACTTGAAAAAGACGTTACGGTAATCTTAAAACCATACTTGAAAAAAAAGTTAATGGTACTTTACAACCAAGTTATATGATAAACGTGATGAATTTAACTTTTCAATCGTCAACTTCCCTAACTTATGCAGCAATATGCCCTCATCACCTGCATACGGAGAATATATATCTCAGTTGATTCGATACGCAAGATCATGCTCTACGTATGAACAATTTTTAAAGTGAGGTAATTAATTGACAAGCAAGTTAATGAAACAAGAATTTCAGCAGTATCGTTTAAAGTCATCATTTTCGTAAGTTCTTTGGTCGATACAATGACCTTGTCAACAATACAATTTATCATTGAGTCAAATGCTGACTGACATTTTTCATGCTAATTGTTAACCCATTATTTATACAATGAATTGACGTCGGATTTTACCGTTATTTCCCGATAATGGCAAGTAGCCCATGGCAGATGTGAACGGTCAGCAGGGAATGCTCATTACTCCACGGCACTTGACTTCACCTCTGATGTTTCGGAGGCTTGTGTTTGATATGTTCCTATTTTATTTTGTTTTATGGAAGTTCAGATTGAATACTTTCCGTTATCTCCATATCCTTCTTGCATGGTTTCAAAAACAACAACGTTATCTTGGGGGTATTTTACAGAATGTGTAAATGTAAATGATGTCATTATTAACATTTCCCGTACAAAATGGGCCTTTTTTAATTTTTGTATACTTACATGTGCTGCATATTATAAAGAGAATTAAAATAATATAAACTTATTTTCATTGCATATTATTCTTTTTCAGCTTCGTGGGTTTTTGGCTGAGATGAGGGAATCAATGTTCCAGATGCCCTGTTTTGAACCCCAAAATGCAATTTTTTTACTTAATAAATGGGACACGCTGATCCCCAATAGATGGGAAAATGACCTTTTTGATCAGATGAAAAGAAAAACACATGAGATCTGGAAAGACGTTGATGACAGAAATATTTTAAATTTGCAGCAGGAAGGGTAAAATATACCATTTATAATTATAAGGAAGTTTCAGTTAAGATCATGTTAGTCAACATTTCAATGATCTTTTTAAAGAGTGTATAACATCTGAATCTCTTTTTATCTGTGTTTAATATGTCTTGTATTTTTGACTTTTCTATTTTCAAATTATTTTAATTGAAAATAAAATACGTTAGAATTTATGGAATATCTTAAAAAGAATTCTTGAAAACAACGGAACAGAAAAGAAAGAAACCTTAACTATGCTTGCACTATTAATGGCTTCATATTTATGTAAAAAAAACAATGTGAAATCGAGATACCAGAATTTCATCAACAGGTTACCCAAAATAAAATGTACAAAGATGAACTGGAAAAGTTCAAATCCGTCTTGAAAGAAATGATGGAAAGAAATGAAAGTAAAAGAGTTAAAGAGCATCTTGAGTAAGTAATTCTAAATCTACAACTAATAACGTGAATTTTCTTAAATATTCAATAATAAAATTCTTGGTCTTCTAAGTCATCCTTTAATTGAGAAAAATGTGTTTAAAGTTAAATGAAAAGATGTACACTAATCAGAATGGTGCAATGGCATTTACTAATTAATGAAAACGCTTGATACATCAATGACAGAGCTCTGGTATTCAGTGATGTTTTTCTCAAAACATCAGGTAATACCCATTACAGGAAACGTTGTATTTCTTGTATGAGCATTTACAAATAATTCTTTTGTCAAACATGAAAATTTCAGATTCATCAGGAAGTTTACAAAGAGATGTAAAATTGCAATTTCTTCAAAACTGGAACATGCACGTGAAAAATTAAAGGAAAATGAAACAACCTGTGATATCGTGTCAAAAGCTCTTGAAGATATGAAAAAAACGAAAGACAAGGTAAACAATGGTAATATTACGCATATATTGACTTATTTTGACCGCAATATGAGTTTTGTTTGACCAAAGAACCAAACTGCTTGCATGAGGCTCGCATTTTGCCGTTGTGATTTGTTATATTTTGCGATTTTGCAGAGTAATTACAGGAGTTTCTGGAGGTCCTTAAAATTGAACGTTCTTGTAAGAACGATGATATTTTTTCCTGTGCAACTAAAGATTATATACAAGTGTTTCGTATACACTTTTAATACATTTTTGATATAAAGACTTAAAACATTTCATCCACATTATTTTTTTCTGTTCTTAAAACCGTTAACGTCTGTGTATGAATTAATTCAATACAGGGCAAACCACTCAATAACTAACACGTTTACATGTATCAATACCTGCCTGTAGAAAAGTTAATTGGTTTTTAAAACATACCTTTATTTTAAAATTCAGATTTTGAAATTATCATATATTATATATCTGTTCAAACAACTACTAATGCTATTTCTGCCAAGAATGTTTTAAATTTTCACTATTAAATTTAATTTTTGTTTTGTTTTGTAAGAACGTTTATTTCTATAGAATACAAAAAGGATATTTCTATGAGAAAATAATTATAGAAAAGACATCAATGATTTCAATATTTAAATAAAAATATTTCATTTAATCGTAAGAACGAATTTTATATGGCCTTTTAAAACTTTTATATAATAAATCTGCAAGTTTTGGTTAATCTCAAAACTTCAAACTAAGAACATTAAATTGTTGATAAGGAAAACGATAGCTTTCAAGGGATAAACATTTTTATCCCCTGCTGAAAATGGAGGATATATTCTTTTCAGTCTGTCTGTTTGTCAGTCCGTCCGTCTATCTGTCTGTCTGCAATAAGCTTTTGCAATAAAATTTTCACAATATCTTTCCAAGGCCTAACGAAGATCTGCCTTAATTTTGAGGTAAAAAGGTCTGAGGTCAAAGGTCAAAATTAAAAAAATATATATGTCAGTATTAACACTTTAGTTTCCGCGTGAAAACTGAGAAGCCGTGGAGATTTTGCAATGAAATTTTATTCCACA